TTTCCCTCCTCCTTCCGTCACAAGAATGGACTCTCTGTTTCAGCTGTGTGGTCGCCATAAGTCGTAATCCGTGTGTGCGCCTGTGCCCGTTGGCACAAGCATGCGTGTGTCGTGCGTGTGTGCACCGACCATCAGGAAAGGAGCCACCAGGCCTAGCACCCAGGCCGTTGCTTTGAATCACCTTGGGGTCCTTCAAGGAGGGGTCAGGGTGAGAAGCGGAGCTTCCCCTGCTTCCCAYTCATCCTGCTGCTGGCCCCTGAGAGGGTGGTGTTGCCATGGCACTCAGGACCCAGGCCGAGGGTGGGCGTGGGGCCTGGCTCCTCCCGCATGCTCAGCCTCCATCAGGCGAGCTGACGGCAGATGCCCCGGAGGCCAGCCGTTGGCCATGCCCATTAGATGTGAGAGAGCCGGCCCAGYSGAGGGCCACAGCAGAGGCACAGGAMACCCCAATGACGTGCGAAACACCCCGTCCAGGTCAAGAGAACTTTCCATCCCTTCGCTTCATAACTCAGCATTTCTGATGGGGGAGATTTATGAGCTGGGGGAGCGGCAGCGGGCTGGGGGTCCTGGGAGGCCAGGTGGGGGTGAGCGGGCAAGAGGGCGGCTTCATTTGGAGGGTCTGGGATTCCCGAGGCTCAGCCCCAAACAGCCCAAGAATAGGCTTTCGGGTGGCTCCGTGGACAGGGGGCCGGATTCCAAATCAGGAGGGAGGCTCAGTCCTGCTGCCACATCGGCCGCCAAGCAGCTGGCCACTAAAGCTGACCAGGCGACCCCATGGCTGGGTTACCTCCCTCCTTCCCACCCCACGTCTCGTGTGTGAGCAGAACCAAGCACCTACCTCCTCCGTCCTCTCTCCCACCCAGTTCTTGTCTTCATCTACCCCCTGTGAGGCCCAAATGACCCTGAAACTGTCACAGATAAATGACCTCATGCGGAGCTGAGGCCCAGGCAGTGGCCTGGCTTCTGGGCATGGCTGGACATGCCTGCCCCAGYGGGAGGCAGTGGGCTTCCCTGCCCGGGACGGGTAGGCACCGCTGTGCTGGCGTCAGAGCCTCAGTGCAGACCACACTTGGCAGGCGAAGGGTCCCTCTGGGCGGCGCGCGGCCCCTCGCCTCCCCCGCCAGGCCTCCTCTCCCCTGTCCTTCCTGCAACAGCACCCGCGTCCAGGAGGCCCCGTCAGAGGCAACTGGGGCCCTGAGGTTCACCCCACCGAGGACGGGGGACAGGGCTCTGTCACTGTGGGTACTGGTGAGTCCTGCCCCCAAGGCAGCAGGACCCACTGGGCCTGCACTGGATTCCAGACCCCCTCAGTGGGGCACTGAAACTGTCTCTCCGGTGGTTCTCGAATGGCCTCCAGAGCAGTCTAGGTTGGAGGGGAGTGGGCGGCCCAGGGCTCAGCCTGGGTGCAGAGCTGAGCCCTGCGGCACATATCCCGTCCGCTAACGTGGGGAAATGCTGGGCACCTGCACACTAGTGAGCCCTCTCTGGAGTCGAAATGGCCCAGGCCTGTCGATGCTCCAAACAGGAAGGCAGCCAGGAGCCAGACCTGCAGCAGCCCCAGGCTAGGGCCGCCTTGGGCACATCCCCAGCTGGACAGAAAACCTGCAGCCCAGGGCCCTGCCCCCACTCCTGCCCCTCCTGCATCTGCCAGTATGCCCAGCTGGGCCCGGCAGTGCAGCTGTGGGGCTGGACTCCATGCTGGAAGGGGAACTGGCATCTCAGGTGAGGCCCAGCCACCGACCACTCACGCCCAGCCTCCAGCTCATCCACTGCTGGTCCAGGGCCCTGGGACAGGAGCTTCATGGGCATCCCCAGGGGAAGGGTCAGCAGTTCACTCGGCTCCACTCAGGCACTGAGGCTCTCAGCCTCTGGACAAAAGGAGGTAACTAGCCCAGGGTGCCCCCCCGGGGAAAAACATCTTGAAGCTTTAAGAGCCACCAGCGAGTAGCTGTGCCCTGTCACAGTGCCAAGAGCCAAGGTCTGGGCAGCAGGCCTTCCAGACATGAGGACAGGCCTGGGAGACAGGAATGGCTAGAAGGATGGGCTCTCAGCCCCGAGAGTGGTGCCTACCTGCAGGGTGGGAAAGGGCAGCCTGGCACTTGGGGTCAGTGCCCTGGAGGACTCATTGGCTCTGGGATGTGGATCTCTGCACCCAGGAAGGACAGAGGCATACCAGAGGCTCTGGCCTGTGTCCCATGCAGAGCAGCTGGCCAAGTCCATGTTCACACACTCTCAAAGAGCTGCAGATGTTGGCTGGGGCGTGGAGACAGCTAGAGGGACACGGGGCTGGGTCCAGATCCCTGCAGGTGTCCCAGGAAGGAGGCCTGCTCTGTACAGTGGGGGACACCATGGCAAGGTGGGCAGCCCACCCACCAGGATGCCCAAGCAGGCTACGTGCTGGGTTCAGGAGCACAATGCTGCACGTCACCGACCTGCTGTCCAGGTCATGTGGCAAAGAAGGTCATGTGCCCTGGTACAGCCACTAACCCAGGCTGATGGCCTGGGTCTTCTTAGCGGCCCTGGGTCTTCTTAGCGGTCTTCTTCATGTGACCTCATGTTTCACGTGAGGTCCTCAGTACCCCCGCTCTGAGCCCTGAACAGTGGTCACAGAACCCCCTGGACAAGGCCCAAGCCTTCCATGGGGCCCCCACAGAAAAAGGTGCAGGCCGGCTATGGGGGAGGGATATGAAGGGCCTTAGCACTGGGGAGGTGCCTCCCCCGTGGGGGACTGATGGMCCTGTGACAGCCCCAGGGGATGGGGAGCTCCGCCTGCCTGTGGCCACAGCCAGCAGCCCCTGTGGCCCCTCCCTCATGGCCCCCACAGGGCTCCCTGCAATCTGTGGTATGAGGGTGGGGACAGCCCCAGATTGGGGCAGAGCAGGCAGTGCCTCCCCAGAACCCTGTGAGGACCCTGCACAGTCCCACCTAAGCCTCGAGGGGCAGACCCTCATGTGTCACGTGAGGTCCTCAGTACCCCCACTCTGAGCCCTGAACGGACAGTGGTCACAGAACACCCTGGACAAGGCCCAAGCCTTCCACGGGGCCCTACAGAAAAAGGTGCAGGCCACACTCTTGTCCTGGAGCTGAGGGTCCTGCTCTTGGGAGGCATCCTGAGACCCTCCTGGTCACTTGGCTCAGGGAGGAGTGTGGAGGAGGATGTGCCAACCTGGTGCTGAGCTGGCCTCCCCAGCCCCTGGTGCCCAGGGTCCAGCTTCTGCCAGAGTCCCTGGAGAAGAGGAGCAGGAGGCACAGACACAGGGTTTGGGACCATGGGTCTCTGCGATGCCTCTGGCTGCTGTTGACCTTTATGAAAATAGAACTTCAGTGAGTTCCAAAGACTCCCATGGCCCACAGGGGCTCAGAAACCCAGCAAGCGTCCTCTGGGCAGGGGAGTGTTGCGTACCAGGCCAGGGATCTGCAGACTGGGGATGGACACTCAGCACCAGTGGTCAGGGGCATGGCCTCCTGGGGCTGGAGGGCAGGGACAGAGCCCTCATGCCCTCCCTACCCCATCCTGGCTGGCACCAGGCCTCAGAGATCTCAGAACCAAGGCCCCGGCCCCATTCCAGGTTGGCTGGGCCTGAGCATTTCCCCTCAGAGACCTGCAGCTTAAAGCGCACCCTCCCACAGCGGCACCCCATGGGCTCCGGAGGGGCTGTGGTTTGGGGTGAATGGGGAGCCGTGCACAGATGGGCCCGACAGCAGGGCCATGYGCCCCAGCAACACTGGTCCCTGTCACCTCCGGGGGTGGCACTTCCCCCACAACTCTGAAGCCAGGCGGGCCCAGGCCATCAGGAAGGATCCCCACACTTATGGGGGCACCGCAATTATATTCAAAGCACCTGACTGTGCGTGGAAGTGGGCAGTGCAGGTGGACAGGCCCTTTCCCACATCCTACTCCTCACAACAGAGTGCCTGGAGGACGTAGCTCGGGGCTCAGGATTCTGGAGTCAGCATCCACGGTCCCATCTGATGGTCACTGCCTCCAGCCCTGACTCCCTGAGACCCTTTGGATTCCCTGTTCCCATCACCCTGTCCACCTGGGCACACTGCCCACCTGAAACCTCCTGCATACCTGACATGCCTGTCTGTACCTGCCTGGATACACCTGCCCACCAAGACACACCTGAACACCTGGACACACCCGCACTCTAGGCCCGTACATACCTGCACACCTGGACTCAGCCTCTCTCCACCTGATAGTGGCCTTATCCCTTGCCTGCCAGCCTCTCTCCCCCACTCCTGCCCTCGTGTGTCCATGATGCTGCTGGTTCAGAGGCTCTGGACCCAGAACCTGAGGCCGGCACCGAACGGGCAGGGGAGGCCGGGAGGCTGGACTCAAGTGCAGCTTCCCCAGTGGCCAGCTGGTCAGGTCAGACCCTCTCCCATGAACGGTGCTCTCCGAGGCACGTYGGTGACACAGACCAGAAATCAAGCCTGAGAAGGTGCCACTTGCCTGTCAGGAGTGGGATTCAAAAGACAGCATCGGCAGCACCAGAAAGCCAGGCGGAGCAGGTGTCCTGGGAGGGTGGTGAGAGCCGGCACTCGCCGCCACCGCTCGGCACCGGGAACGTTCCGATTTCAAGGAAACGGATGGTTTTCTGACTCCCAGGGCCATGTGCAGCTGGTGTGAGCGTGAGCATAGGGTGGCAGGCACACACACTYGGTGACAGCACACACCCAGGCTCAGACACAGCTGCACCCCCAATGACACCTTTACCTTCAAAAGCGTTTTTTTTCCTAGCCCGACGCCYGGGCTGTCTTTAGCAGAGGGCTCTGTTCTTAGACGCAGTGGCCTCTGCTCACTCACACCTGGGTCAGCCTTGCTGGGGAGATTGCTGTGGCTCAGCAGCTGGGCCAAGCAGGGCCTGGCTGATAACCACGTGGCTGGCTGAGGCCGGTGCTCACGTGCTATCCCCCTGAGCCTGCGGGGACAAGGCRGCGTGCAGCCCCGAGCACACTGGGTGCCTCTGACCTTCGCTTTGCTTCTTCCCTGGCAGATCTCTGAAGACCTGGGCAGCGAGAAGTTCTGCGTGGAGGCCAGCCAGGTGGGGGCTGGCAGCTGGCTCAAGTACGTCCGGGTGGCCTGCTCCTGTGATGACCAGAACCTCTCCATGTGTCAGATCAACGAGCAGGTAGGTCCAGGCTGTGCGCAGGGGCTTTGCCCCTCGGAGTTATCCTAGGGGACATGCTCCAGGGTGGATGGAGGTGCCTCGGTGAGGGACAGCTGAGCCCATGCTGGGGGCTTCTGTCCTGCTCTGGGGCAGCTGCCTGACACTTGGCCAGTGCTGGCTCTCTGGGGTGCTTAGCTCCCCTGGGACGCTCCCCAGGAGCCTTCGGTCAGCCCTCTTGCCTGAGGCCAGCAGCTCTGAGAGCTGAAAGGTGGTGGCCTTGAGAAGGGCAGCAGGGCAGGCAGGGTCCCAACCACAAGACCCACGCTCCCTGCGGATGTTGCTGCCCACRAGACACGAGAGGTGGGAAGAGAGGCCCACCGCAGGAGCCCTGTCTGAACCTGGGTTTCACCAAGCTCTCCAGAAGGGTCAGCACTGGCCAGCAGGAAGCTGCTGGGGCACTTCCTAGGCCAGGCCAGGCTGAGACACAGCCCGCTCCCAGAGCCCCAGCYTGGTGAGGGCTTGGCCTTGTTTTGACACGGTCCCTTCCCGCCAGGAGCAGGCCGGATGCCTCCTGAGCTGTGAGGTGCTCTCTGGCCTCAGCCCCACAGGGGGGAGAACCCCTTCCCTTCTGTTCCCAGCCCCAGGGCCAAGGGTCCTGCAGGCTTGTGGACCCTACCCAGGGCGGTCACCGAGGCCACATGCCAGCTGGGAGTGGAGATGTGTGGCTTCTTTAGACTCCAGGAGGCCACCCCTCCATGCTGGTCRCCACTTCACCTCGCTTCCCCTGGAGCTTGCACGTGGGCTGGAGCCTCCACATCCAGCCAGGCCCAGCAGTGGCCTCCGTCCTGTGTCCCAGGACACTGGGCTCCTCTGAGGTGCTGGACTCCGAGCCCCTTCCAGCAGGGCCATCTGCTTTGCCTGTCTTGGGGCTCTCAGGGAGATTTCATTTGCAAAATGAGGTCCTACGACTTTAAAAGACATCCATGGAGACCTCTGTTAGACAGAGGCCACGCTCTTGTGTAGACCGTGCCAGCTGTTAAAGGCACTTCACGGCTCTTGACTCTGGAGAAACGTTCTGTGTTAAGAAACAGCACGTGAGACCTGGGCAGCCCCGGGCAGCCCCAGGCTGCCAAAGGTCCTTCCTCGTGGCTGGATCTCCCTTTGACTCAGGCTCCGTCTGGACCAAGCAGTGATTTTACCGAACACTGGACACCAGCTGGTTCCAAACAAGGGCATGGGTCCACCTCTCCACTAGACTTCCGTGGCCTTTGGTTAGAACCCAAAGCTTTGAAAACAACTTTTCCTAACTGCAAATAATAATAATACAGAAAGAAAGCAAAAGAATAACGTGGACATTAAAACAGAACTTTAAAGGGGAGACCTTTCCTGCCTCCAGATGAAGTGGAATGTGAGTGAGAAGGTTCAAGGCACCCAGAGCTCTGCTGAGCCCTCCTGGAGCAGGTCCGGGGACACCCTGTGCTGGCCTGTCTGGAGGATGCCGAGGGGCAGCAGCCAGTGCACCCAGGCTGGCCAGGGCAGCATCTGTGAGACAGACCAGGGTAGTGAAGGAGGCAGGCTTTTATATGGAGGGAATGAATGTTACTAGAACATCAAAATAAACCGAAGCAGAAAGGTGGGCAACTTGTGAGGCCAGCTCTGTRGAAACCAACCCTAAAGGGGAGGTGTCTACAAAGCCCTATCTTTATGGGGAATATTCCAGGGACTCGTTTATTCAGGCTCCACACGGGCCTGTGTGGAACTGGCCCTGCAGCTCGCTGTCCTTCCACCGTCAGGACCCGAGGACAGAATGACAGACCTGCCYCTTCCTGTTGGCCTTTGTTAGCCCCACCTCCGTCCCAGGACACTGCCGGCTCTGAAGCTCTGTGCTGGTGTGGGGCGCTTACCAGGCTCTGGCACCTACCCCACTCCACAGCAAAGCCCCTCCAATGCCCCTCTGCCTCCCAGGAGTGACTCTCCCTGCCTCAGGGCTGTGGTGGATCCACAGCCACACATTAGGGGCACTCGGGGTGTGCGGTTGACAAACACAACCCCTAATAGCCCACAGAAGTGGCCCCTCCTCCGGGGCATTTCCAGTGTGCCCAGGCCGAGGGAGAGAGGAGCAATGAGCCCTCACACTGCAGGCGTACGGGGCACTCRAGATCCCCTCCAGTGTCTCCCAGACTGAGCCTCGGAACTGGACAGACCACAGGGCAGTGGCCCCCGGAGCACAGCGGAAGCAGGTGCAGAAGACCTGCAGGGAGCTGCAGGGGACATTGGGTCCAAGAGCCAACCCGAAACCTCAGCTTGAATCCCAGCAACCAAAGGCAGACGAGCAGCTGGGGGATAGCAATTTCCAAACTATAATAATAAGAAAGTCACTCCCCGGAACCCACAGACTCCCAATAAATATTGGTTGGTTGAATGAAATGACTTTTGAAAACACCTTGGAAGGGAACAGTAGATCTCAAACTGCGTGTTCAGTAGTGGCCAAAAGCAGAGCAGCTCTCTCCCAGGACAACGCGGCCTTGGCAGAAAGCACCTTGGTTTCCTGGTCCCTCGAGGACACACATTCCTTCAAAGTAGCCTGCTTTGACCCTCCGTGGAGCTAAAACAAAAACCCTCCTCAAATATTAACAATAAAAAAGGTTCTGAAGACAGGTTTCTCTTTAATAAGGAAACGTCATGCAATATTAGTGGAGTTTCTCAGATCTCCATGGTCCCAAGGGCTTCTACCAGGATTTCTGGACAATTACAGACACCACACACTGACTCCCACACCTGCACACACACACGCATGCACGCACACACGTGAACACACATACGCATCCACACATGCACGGACAACACACACCCCACTACACACATGTATGCACACACACGTGAGCACACATACACATCCACGCATGCATGGACAACACACACCCCACTACACACATGCATGCACACACATGTGAGCATACATACACATCCACGCATGCATGGACAACACACACCCCACTACACACATGCATGCATACACACACGTGAGCACACATACACATCCACGCATGCATGGACAACACACACCCCACTACACACATGCATGCATACACACACGTGAGCACACATACACATCCACGCGTGCACAGACAATACACACACCCCACTACACAC